CCGCCCCCTCCGGCCCCGGGCCGGCTGCGGCCGCCGCTCCATCCGACTTCGCGGCCATGTTGGCGGAGCAGGAGGCGGGGAGCGACTTCCGGGCGGTGGAGGGGGTGGGGTACGGAGTGGGGAGGACCCTGTGCGGGCGGCTCCTGCCTCCTCCTCTTCCTCCTTCTCCTCTTCTTCCTCCTCCCCTCTACTTCAATTATTCATTCCCCTCGGCGCCGCCCCCTCCCCTCCCCCACCCCGCCTGGGCTGTGGCCGTGTGGGGCCAGCCCCCTGGGAAGAGGGGGAGGGGAAGGAAGAGCATCCCAGGTCACCCTCACCCTCCTTCCTCAGAGGCGTGGGGCCCCAGCCACATGCTCTCTGCCTCTCACCCTCCTCCCTACTTCTTTCTTTTTTCTTTTCTTCACTGCCCTCCTCTCCATCCTCTCCTCTTCCATTATCTCCTCTGTTTACCTCCAGTGGCCTGGGTCTGAGGATGGTGGGGGACCAGGGACTTGGAAGTAAGGGGCTGCTTGGGCCGGCACCCCAGTAACACTTTAGCAATCATTCGATGCTAACATGCCACTTCCTAGTTTCCTGAGTGTTCACATATTGTTCCATCCCCTTCTTTGATCTTGAGAGGTCCCTTTTCTTATTGTCTTTTTCTTATTGTTTTGAAGCTGAGAAAACTGCAGCTCTGAGAGTTGCTATCTCTTCCCCACTCTCCCCTTTCCCTCCCTCAGGGACTGCCTTCATCTGGCTACAGCCCTAGTAGAGTAGGGGCAGTGAAAGGGGCAATATTAGAGGAAAAGGGATGGGAGGAAATACCAGGTGGAGGAAAGAGCAAGTGCAGAGGCCTGGAGGCCTGAGACTAGAGGGCATGTTTTCAAGGACGTCTGGATCAGAGATCCAGGGAGATGGAAAGCTGGGAAAGATAGGGCTGGAGAGTTCTGAGGGATGAGATCCTAAAGGGCCAGAAGATGTGCTTTATCCAGGAAGCATTGGGGAACCACTGCAGAATTTGAGAAAGGAAGTAATGTGATCAGGTCAGGATTTGGAGAGAAGACCCTGCAGCCAGAGGAGAGAAGTGCTCACAGGGAAGCAGCCCCGGGGTGGAGAGACCAGAAAGAGAATCTAACAGTAATCCAGGAGAGGCGGTAGGGTCCCTCATACATCCTGGATACCCCCAGCTCATTCTTTGCTCAGATTGGATGTACCAGGGCATTTACTATACAAATGCTCATGTAGCAGTTTCTCTTTGCCTGGGACTATTCTAAGCACTGTACAATTACTAACTCATTTTATCCTCACGGTCTGTGTGGTAGTCTGTATTTCTTCCCTGCCATTTTACAGATGAAGAAACTAAGTCAGAGAAGGTAATTCAGTTGTCTGGAGTTATACAGTTAGTAAGTGCTAGAGCTTAATTCAAGCCCATCATCTGGCTCCAGAATGGGCTCTGCTACCTCCTAAGGGGAGGAGGAGAGTTAGATGAGAAGGGGAGGAAGGGTGGGGGGGGGAGGTGCAAGGACCATCCCACCTCAGAGTGGCAGGGAAGGGAAGATGAAGGGAGACAGCTGCCCTGGGTCAGGAAGGAGCAGCCATCTGCAGTCCTGCAGCCCAGCATCCCTTTCGTGTTCAGGGACTGTTTTGGTCCCAGCAATGCTCAGGAGGTTGGAGTGCCAGCTGTTGCCCAGGGCTGAGAATGGAGGAGGAAGAGTTAGGGATTAAGGGAGTTTGCCAGGCTGGATTCAAAGCTTACAGTCCCTATCCATGGGCATGTGGGAGTTTTTGTGGGTTGGGCTGGAGTGAGGGCGTGGGGGCGGGGGCATGGGATCCAACTCTTAATGTGATTTAGAAAAGAGCAGTATCTCTGCCTTTTCTTTTTCTCCTACACCCCTAGGCAGGGAGACTCAGGGAATGCACAAAGCCCTGGCAGAGGGAAGTTCTGACCCTGGACCCCCTTATGGCCCTGGGCCAGTTCCAGCATTTGTCTGGACCTCTGCTTTCTCACAGGTGGCTGGATGGGGCCTGACAGACTTAGGTTCTCACCTCTGGGCCCTACCCAAATAGAGGCAGCCCCTCTACCTCCCATGCCTCTCCACATTCCAGGATCAGCCTGTTCAAACAGGCAGGAGAAGACAAGATTTTACGTCTGCTACTTTGGAGCCAGGAGACCTGGGTTCAAAACCTACTCATCCCTTCCTGGCTCCATGACCTTGGACAACTCATTCAATTTCTCTTAGATACAAAAAAAAAAGTAAAATGGAGGATAACCAGTGCCTTCCTCCTGTGGTGAGGATAATTAATGCTAATTATTAGCTGGGGTGATACCTCCCACAAGAAGCCCTCCTGGATCTCCCACCCAGCTGTGCCCTGCTCCCTATCCCTCAGAGAAGTGTCCCTGAGACTCCCTTGTTATGGGCTTCCATGACACTTTAGTTTTTTCCTTCTTAACGTCAGTACACAGTTTATCTTTTTATGTTTGCCTGTTTGGAATTGCCTGGGATCTCCACGCGAGCTGAGACAATTCATCTATTTTCTTCACCACCAAATTGCCCAGTGCCCAGTGCTATGCCTAGCACTCAATAGGTATTCTACAGAAATCATTGAATGAATGAATGATCAACTCTATGAAATAGGTTCCGTTATTCTCCCCATTTTATAAACAAGGTAACTGATTTAGACAAAAGCAGTGACTTACAGAATTATCAAGTCCTTCTGTGTGTCAGGAGCCATGCTAAGAGCTTTACTGATATTACCACCTGTTATCCTCAAACCAGCCATTTTTGGGGTGAAGAAACTGAGACTCAGGAGGTGCTATCTCTTGCCCAAGGCCATTAGTTAGGAAGTAACAGAGTAGGCATTCAAGAACTCTAGTTCAGGCAACTAGGGGAGGTGACACAGAGGAAGGATTTGATGGGGCATCTGAACCATGGGTCAGGTATGGGAGTGACCCACCAGTCAGTGGTACTGTGGTGGGGCCTCTGCCCTGAGTGAGTTTGGACTGGTGTATTCTGAGTGGCCTGAGATCAGAGATCAGGGATTCAGACTAGGACACATAAGGGAGTACAGGAGTGGTGTTCCAGGGATAGGGGTGGGGGGGCTTGGGGGGCAGAACAGCTTGGGCAAAGGCTCTGCAAGGGGACTGAGCCAGGCCCATTCAAGGGCTAAGAAGAGGCTGGGTCTGGCTGGTGTGGAGGGAGAAGGTGGACCACAGCTGGTCAGAACTGGACAGGCCCTTTGAGATCCCATCCAGTTCCCTGAGCCCCTCTCTTACTTTACGGACGGGGTACTGAGGTCCAGAGAGGAATCCCATATCTAGCAAGTTCCAGAAGCAAATCAGGGAGCCTTTGCTTAGTCCCCAAGGGCATGGTCTCTGGGCTTTGTTGGGAATCACTCAGGAAGAGCCCCCATCGCATTTCCTCAATTAGCTGAGAGCTCAGTCTATGTCTCCTGCACCCTCCGCTTGGACCAGTTTCTAATAATATTTCCTTAGTTCCTGTGCAAACTATGCACAAAATAATTGACACAGCATTGTTTATAACAGCAAATATTGGGAACAACCCAAATGCCTATCAGCAGGGAACTGGCTAAATAAATCATGGACTTCCTGACAATGGAATGGCACGTGGCAGTAAAGGAGGGGATGAAGCTCTCTATCTCCTGACACAGATGGGCTTCCACAGGGAAAAGCAACGGACAGAACAGGGGGTGAAGCTGGGTGAAAAGGGGGGAATAATAATCTAATTTTAAATTGTTTGTATATGCATAAAGAAACTTTGGACATTTACATAAGAAAACAAGAAGAGATTACTGAAGGGGGCACTGGGCAGAAGGGGAACAAGGATGGGATGGAGACTTCATTATATGTCTATAATTTTTTTGGGAATCATGTGAATGTATTTACCTATTAATACAATAAAGTGGTAATGGGGACAGCTGCTTCTCAGTGACTGGTGAATGTTGTCATACGGGAATGGGTGGTCAGTATGGTCAGATTTTCTAATTATTCAAGAGAAGCCAGAAATATGGATTTTATTGTAAAAGCTCTTGGTTTTTAAACGTTGGCTCCATTTTTTATCAAACACTTTTCAGGCCAAGTAAATAGGTCAGTGGGTCAGACATGGCCTGAGGGCCACCAGTTTTCAGTCTCAGCTCTAATAGCTTCCTGCTCCCAGGGCTGGAGTTCTCAGCACCCCAGGTCTCTGCCCCAACGTGGGCAGCTGCGGGTGGAAAGCGCTTTGTCCTGCCCCTCTCCTGGCACCCTCCTACCCTTGCCCCTTGGGGCTGTGACATTTGGGGCTTTTAACTCAAGATCTGGAAGGCAGAGAGGGGTTATGAACTCTCGGATAATTCCCTCCCCCGGGGCCCTGCAGGCTTCGAGGCCCAGCTGCCTCCTGCTGCCCACCCATCTGTCCCTGGGAGGTGGGGACAGGAGTGGGCTGGCAGTGATGGGGGAGGGCAGGACTCCCCGCTCTGAGCCTCAGATCACTGGGCTCTGTCCAGATCCAGAATCCAAGAGGAAAAAGCTAGAGATTGTGAGAAAAGAAAAACAGGGGCTTGGCTGCACCTAGTTAGTATGTGGTGAGGGAATTCACCAAATTACCAAATGCCAGAGCTGGAAAAGCTAAGGGACCATCTCATCCAACCAGCTCATCGCAGAGATGCAGAGACCAACCCCCACCCCCACCACACCACCCCAGGCCATGGCCTTCTCACCTCTCTCCTGGACAACTGGGCTGCACCGGCCTCCTCATTGGGCTTCCGCAGCCCTTCTTTCCCCTCCTAATGCTCAATCTCCACCATTAGCCAAAGGGGCCTTTTCAAAAGAGAAACCTGATCAGATCCCATGTCTGCTCAGAACGTTCTAACTACTTCCTACCTCACTTTGAGCTGAAGTCCTCAGCCCTGCCTACAATCTCTCTCCTGCTCCCCTCTCGGACCTCACCTCCTTCCTTCTTTTCCTCACTCATTCTCTTCCAGCCACACTGATTCTTTGCTACTCCTTTAACACACCAACCTTCTCCCTCCCACCTGGCTTTTGTTCTTGCTGTTCCCAGGTATTCACAAGGCTCCGTCTTT